GGATGGCGGATCCAATATGGCAGACGAGTTTTGTAATTTTATGATCCGATTCTCTTCAGAATTGTTATCTGGGTGTTTTCGTGGTCGAAGATTATGATATTTCTATCAAAATTTGGGGATTCAAGATGACTGATCCAATATGGCGGAGGAGTTTTGTAATTATGATCCGATTCTATTCCAAATTTGTGTCTAGAGGTTTTTGGGGTCGGAGATTATGATTCTTTCGTCAAAATGGTGAAATTCAAGATGTGGGATCCAATATGACGAATGGTCTTTGCAATAAATAATAGTTTGAAAAACTTATCAAAAACGCTTCCATAGACAACAGAGTTGTAGTTTGAAAATTAAAAGGATAGATTGCCAAACTAAGAAGCAAGTAGAAAATAATTAGTAGTTTAAAAAACTGCTTGGTCAGCTAGCACTGTTATATAAGTGATGGAGTTATTCAACAGTTGGAGGTAAACGTTTCTTATTTCGACTTCGTAGAAGATCAGCTTAATTTATAGTGGTAATCAGGCCGACATGACAAAATGGAATGAATATTTCAGGAGTGACTATGCAAAAGCAAGATCGTTGAATTCGATACGCGAGTTCCTTCTGGTGCAAAGAGCACTTTGAGACGCGATTGATAGCTATTTAAATTATTTAAATGCAAAACAGCATGGGGTGAGCGACTTTCGGCGGGTATAGAAGGTGGAATAGAACACGAGAGAGATCACGAACATCTATCTTGTCGGTGATGTAAAAGACCTGGATAAGGTAACATCACTAACCATCGAGAAATGAGTCTAATTCGTTTTCAATCAGGTGAGGAACACGCGAAAAGTGTTTTTTCGTCTCGATTTATCCGGAGATCGATTCACGAGTCCTAGGAAAGTGTGGTAGTTTAACTGGAAAAAAGCAGATATCGGGAAAACACAGCTCAAGGTGATGAATGGAACGCTGGCACTCCAACAATTCTAGGTGGATGCAAACATGGATTCTTGATGAAGCCTGAATACAAATATTCATTCAGGGAATTAGCCGATCAACCTATGTTACCACTCAAAGAAGAAGTAATACTTCCACTCTCACTTTCAGTTTAGGTAATTATTATATGGATTCATAAGCTTTGTCATGATGATTGAAAAATTATAACAACCTGCAAAAAGATAAATCTCTTTTATTATTAATCTTATATAGGTTAGGTATTATAACTTTTGTGTCGCTTGACATCTATCAAGTCCAATTTTGCTACCCATGTTAGTTTTCTGTTGAACACCTAGCAGTTAATAATAATTTCGATAGAATCCATCCTCTTCTGCGTTAATCCAGACTTCATTATATGACAGTCAAGCTAGTTAACCCCTATGTCCAGATTTGAAATGTTAAGGGAAGAATTCTATCCATGTAGATGCAAACGCAAAATGTGAAATCTCATATTGGAATTATATCTTGAATTATCATATTCACATTTATAATGTGAACTGAAAGTCGTCATTTCGAAATGACGAAATATCAGAAATGTTTTTCCATAACTCAGGTTTCACAAGAAATTCTTCACATTGAAAAATTCCATCCATAATCGGTTATGAATCCTTATTACTAGTTGAACGTTACCAGGTTAATCAGCCTAATGGAATGTATTATAATTTCACTTTACTTCAATCATTTCTCTACATGGAAACGATGAAATTGGCAGTCAACATGAAATTTTTGATAACTTGAAAATTGAGCAAGGGACGAGATTTCCATAAAATCAGATTGTTCATATTTATTTATTTATCAAGGGCATAAAATACGCTTTGATGGACCGAGTGTGAGTTAAACGCCAAAGTATAAAAAAGCAAAGACGCGCAAGATACATACATTTTATGCACAACCGGTATATTTGTTTGTTCATTGTGAATACCTGTTCATCTCACAAGAACGATAGTTATACATCATGGCTGCAGTGAGAAATATCAATGATGGAATCAAGGTGGATAGAATATGGTGTAATCACAGACAGTGTTTTGTTTCTCCCAGAACGCTCGAACGTAGATTCCGCAACAATGGCATATTAGTTCTCAGTTGTCCGCAAGATGGCGACACTTTCCACAGATTTCTTACATGATGGAAGAGACAAAACGGCGCTTACACATCGCTTCCACCAGAAATAATAATTCATAACATTCATAACATAATCTCAAATCAAATGAGATTAAATTTGAAAGTACGAAACTGTAATTTTGGGATATTTTAATTATCATCAGTTCAACCAACCATGAATTTTGGTTGAGATTCCTCCATCTAACGGATGAAATGCGACCTATATTCCGCGACTGTCAAGTAGGTCGTAGGTCAAGAATTTTGCTAGGAGTTTCTACACCATCTTCTGTTCATCCTGGATATCAACGTTTCCATGGTAACTCAGTGAATTTTTCGAAATAGGAGTAGATTATTATATTTGCTTTCATTTAATGTCATTACAGTTATAGGTTATGTATGCCCCGGGCGTTATGGCTCTGTTGATAGCAACCATTACCGAGATATTATTGAACTGTAATTGACAAGTGAAAAATAAACTTATTCTGGATTCAATCATATGATATCATATAATTCTCCATCTCGGAAATATCAAGAGAACTGTAATACTATACAATGAACCATCACAACTAATACATAAATATCCTGAATTGTACAGCAATGCTTATCATGAGTAGTCCGTGAGCGGTAATGTGCCACTTTGGCCCGGTCCGGCAAAAAATCATAAAAGATTTCAATATCCAAGATATTTGAATCGAGAAGTTTCAGTTGAATTAGAATTAATTTCCAGATTGTTGAATTTCCAAAAAGAAGAACGTACAAGAATTTCGAATATTATTTAATAGGAGTATGACCATCTTATTTATTTTATAGGATATAACAGGATTCTCAGGACATTTTGACGACAAAATTGATCTTGTACGTGATTTTTTCTTTTTCGGAACGAATCTAGTTGTGGAATTCAACGGATGAAAAGCTAACTTCTCGGATCTTTCCCATCGACTAAGCAGCAAGTAGTTGGAGCTATAGCCATCGGTGCTCACGAATTGCCTATCTGTACATTACCGAGCATTGTACTGCAGTGTGTATAATTCGAGTTCGTCCTGGCATAAACCCATTGTACACTTGACAGTCCGAATTGCTACTCCGCATTTGACCATACAATGGATACTAATTTATGCCGGTGAGTGTATGCCTGTAAACAGCAGAGTTCACTACTTTGAATCGAAAAATAAAAATCCGGAATATCAGAATGTTTTATCTCCCACATGAATCAGTGCTTCGAATCAGCCATTCATAATAGTTCGTGTTTTCAGACTTTTATTATTGTCATATCGAATGCTATATTGTTCAGGTATCGGTAAACTCGGTAACATTCAATTTCTCATTATTTTACACGGAATGATATCCAGTATCAAGATTTCAGAGACTTTTTTCCCTATAAATATGTTTCCGCAAATGCTTGATTACCGATCTACACAGAGCGTAAAGATTCAAGTTCTTTGTTCAGTACCATTTATAAAAAGTCAAGGTTCGTCAGGTTTCTTATTCTTCAGGTAATGTTTGGAAACTCGTGATTAGAATCACTGACTAAATATGTAGTTTTTTGTTTTCATTGTGATGGGTTCCTCCCTTTTCTGGAAAATCTCAATTTAATCTAGCAAATTAAAACGATATTTTTTTTATCGAGAACAGTTGCAGATGCGTAAAAAGTACAAGAGACAAAAAAATCATAGACAGGCCAAAGAACTCGTTTTTTATTTCAAATTCTACCTTTCAAAAGATACCTCCCTGTAGATTCTTACAATCACTTGGCACACTGTATGATGTTAACCCTGAAACGTAACATATTTTGATCTGAGTATTTCGAAAACTTAAAGAACTACAGAGAAAAAAAAAACTCTTTGAATTTCAACGCTCTGTTCATAGAAAGAAAATTGATCTGGAAAATAAGCCTCAAAAATCTTGATACCGAGTTTTGAAACACTCTGTATGAGGGGCTATTTGAATATAACGTGGTTTTCTTTCCGAATTTTAGATACTGACTCATCATTATAGTTCTATTACACCAGAGTTATGACTTGTTTTCAGTTATATGACCGAAGAAAACGAATAAATATATAGAGTGCTGTTCCCTGCCTTGTTTTTGTTGCCCGTTCACTGATCCCACGAGTAACGTTTCCAAAGACGTTATGATTTCACATACATAGACCTCGCATATTCCATAAGGGAAATAAACATTATCTTGCCATGATGGAATGTAATACCCTGTATGTGATATCATTCCTCATTCGAATAAAGGAATTCAGGAGGTAGAATTCAGAGGTGAAAGGTTCATTTCTAATCTCGGCTCATAGCACATAATTCAAAGAGATGCAAAATACTCTGAATAGTCAAAATCGAATGTTTGACAACCTGTACCTTGAAAAGTAGTCGTAGCATCAATCGATCTGTGAAAGCAGTGGAGTAGCCAGAAATATATTTCCGAGGGAAGAATGGGCATACCTGATTTCAAGTGAATTGTAAGGAAAAATGGAAAAATAATGAATGCGCGAATGTTGGCTTATTTATTGAAATACAGATGACGAATTGAAGAAGACAATGAAATGGAGAGAAAAATTCTGATAGAATAGCAGATGAATATATATTTAGGTGTATACAACTGAAGTGCAATTTATCGATTTGTTTGGCAAAATGTATCAATCATTTTCATTCATTCGATTTGAATATTACGATGAATACTCATCAGAGCTAAACTTGTTGTACGCTCTCTCCCCCACCCCTTGCTACGCCACTGTTGGAATGTATGCAATGAAGACGCCAATGTCTGAAAAATCTCTAATTTCCAGGAAAATCAGCCTTTGCATAGGTAACAGAGGTGAACTGCTCCAAAATGCATTATTGAATCTTCTCGATTTTGATTTTTGAATGTTTAATCACTTTCGCCTAGTTCGATTTAATTGGAGTAAATAATAATGGAACTTGATACTTACAATCTACACTAACTTTGATCCTCTTGCTCACTGTTGGTGGTACTCCATTACTTGCTATACATAAATAGGCGCCCATTTCTAATCTAGAAATTTTCTGTAATTCTAACTTCTCGCCCTCCCACTCGGGCACTGAAACAAAAACATCACTATATAATCATACCATAAGAAAACCTAACTAAATTGGTTCGATGAATAACTTCTTCCATTCAGATTATCCAGTTTCGAGCTAATTGAGTAGGAGTAAGTGAATTGAGAAACGTTAATCTCAGACATCATTTATTCGTGCCTATAAATATTAAAGTCACATCGAAACTTGGAAATTCTAAGGCCCAAATCCTTTTAATACAGAACACACAGTGTATTCAGCGAGGGGGATAGAGAAATGTAACCAAGAAGGAAAAAAAAAAGATAATTTATAACGCTCACCTTGAAGAGTCTTATTTATGGTAATTTTGGTATTATCGTCCCTCTTCCATTTAACGTTAGGTGTAGGAAATCCGGTAGCTTTACAAGTTAAACTTTCGTTGGATCCCTCTCTCACGATCACGTCGCTGCTGCTCAAAGAGTCGTCTATATTAGGAGGCACTGCAAATAAAACAAAAGCCGTTATTATTGGTGAAGTTTCAATTGTTTGTTCTCACAGACACGTCAAGTGTTTGCGAGTTAAGAAAACCACTTGATAAAGTTCTGGCTCGTTTGTTCAAGGAAGCTGTTTCTCCTAGATTCGATAATATTCGATACGAGTTTAAGTAATTCATCTCTCATATTATTGGTGAACATTTTCTTCAAACTATCCACCAAGAAAGTGAGGAATAAATGGTGGGAGCGCGAAAATCTATCCATCATATTGTTGTCAAATCAGAAAGATATAAGAACAACACAATTTGATGAAGGGAAGTTAGTTTTTTTTTCCCCTCAATAAATATATTCCAAATTGAATAAACATATAAACATAACATAATAAATAAATAATGGAAGTTAGTTAGTTGGACCATGTCTGAAAGTTCATGTTCGATGATTAGACTGAGATGGAACTTGCTCTGAATTTGAAAATGTCAACAAATGGCGGGAGCGCAATAATGAATTCATCATCTAATCAAATCGAAACTATATGAGAACGCCACACTCTGATGGATGGAATTCAGTAAGTTGGACTGACGTGGAGATGTAACGATATCTGATCACAGAAGGTATACGAAATTGCGTTCAATTCGAAAATTTCAATAAATGGCGAGAACGCGAAAATTACGAATTTGAAGGTATTCCTCTCAGTTAACTGAACAAAAATTGCACACTAAACGGAAATTGTGAAATTGTTCTGGATATAAAACTCTGAATAAATGACAGAAGCTTAAGTATTCACTGAATAATTGACTAGAAAGGTATGGAAGCATAGCTTCCACTTGAGAAGAATGAGCTAGGTGGTCGACTGGATGTAATACGATATCTGATCATAGGAAATATACCGAATTCTCTGAATTTGGAAAATCTAATAAATAGCTGGAGGGCGAATATAAACTTATCAATTTATCGGACTATGAAAGCACCGCACTTGAATGGAAATGGAATGGGCTAGTGGAAGTGGAATAAACACAAGAACGACATCTGAACATTTAAAGTAAACGAAATGTCTCTGAATCTGGGAATTCCAACAAATGACAGAAACGAAAAATTCACCAACTCATTGATTCGGGAGGTATGAAAGCGAAGGGCATGTTGGTCTGAAAGGAAAGCAAAACGATCTGATCACAGGAAATATGTAAAATTTATCAGACTTTGAAAATTTGAATAAATGGCGGAAGCGCAAAATAAATTCATCTAGTCATTCTAGTCGAATCGATAAGATATAAGAAAGCTACACAGGGATGAGGTAAAATGAGTTAGTTGAACTGAAATGAAGACAAGATTATAACTGATTATAGAAAGTATCTGGAATGAGGGGCTAACATTATTTTTTGTCCACCAAACCGCGCTACTGAAACGTGAGGTCAGAGTTGGTAGAACTGATGAATATACTTCTTCTTTTCGTGTCAATTGGCCTCTCTCCACCATATTATGAATGTGAAAACTTCCACATTGGGAGTCAAAAAACTCTCGTCCACTCAAGTCTTTCATTAACTTTATTTGTTCAAATATTCTACATAATCTTTTCCGAATATTTTTGATGAAACAGACAAGCAAGATTTTGGTATTCCTGATTTTGACATTGAACTCACGTTTCGTAGTAGCGTCAACTGTTCTGGAATTTGCAATTTTGAATAAATGGCGAGAGGGCAAGATCAATTCATCACCCAATCAAATCAAAAAGATATAAGAACACTACACTTTGATGAGAATAAATTTGTGAGTTGGACTGAGAAAAAGTAGTGAAGATAGAATAGATAGGATAGCTCTAACAGAAAAAACGAAACAAATGGCGGGAGCGCAAAAATACAATCATCATCCCATCATATCGAAATTATATGAGAACGTCTCTCCTCCAACTCCAATTGTACCCAATTTTTATTATTGTTATTTTATTGAGATCATTTGATATTTCATGCTCTACATATCTCGTACGTTTGCACTTTAGTGATTTGGGGTAAAGATTATTTTCAGTTTGAAGCACTATTATTGCTATTGTAATAATTATAACCTGCCGTACATGTTCTTTACATGTTCAAATATACTACTTCATCCATTCTACTTATCACAATCATGAGAAAAAATGGATTGGGTGGACTTGCAGAAAACGAGACGATATCTGATCATAGGAAGTATGTGAAATTGCTCAAAATTTCAAATTTCAATAAATGGTGAGAGCGCAAAAATTAATTCATCATCTAATAAAATCGAAATGATGCGAGGAACATCACACTCTGATGAGGAAGAATATTCCAGTGTGACTGAGGTGAATACATGACGATATATGATCGATCATAGAAAGCATAAAAAATTGCACAGGATTGGTAAATTTCAATAAATGGCGGGTGCGCAAAATAAATTCATCGCAAAGTCAGATCGAAAAGATATAGGTACACAAAAGTCCAATTATTGGCGGGAGCGCAAGCATAAATTCATCAATTCAACGAAGTATGGAATGGGCTAGTTTGAATGAAATGGAAACAAAAGGACAAGTACCTATGCAAGTATATAAGCATCGCATTTTGTCGAAAAAGAGATGGTTGATCAGTATCCAATTTGAAAATTTCAATAAATGGCGGAGTGTTAAAATAAATCTACTTATCGATTCGCAAGGTATAAAAGCATCACACGTTGTTGAAAATCATCAACTAGTTGAACCAGGATGGAGACGAAACAATATCTGACCAAAAAACAAATGAAAAACTGCATGGACTCTCGAATTTTGAAAAACATATTTGATCACATATAGTGATTTCGTAATAAAGAACTGAATGAATGTAGCATGACTATCCATTTGTTAGGAATCTTCTGAAACAGGTTGATTCGTTTTTTATTATTCAGAGTGATCTACGTCTGAGTAATCACGACCGAGAGAATTTCTTCAGAAGGAACACCTTATATATTATTGACTTTTTGACTTTTTGGAATCTCCATGGAGAGCTGAATTCAGAATTGTTTCACATAAAGGGTTTGTGTACAGTGTGTTTGTGGAATTGGATGCTCTTGTGAATTTTATTGTGAATTCATTTTTATTCATACTATCAAATTCTCAGGAAGTTCCTGTAACAGGTTGATTGTGGTTTCAATTCGCATTTCAGAAGAAGAATTGAATATACAGGGTGATCTACGTTTGAGTTTTGACGTCCGCAACAGTTTTTTCAAGTGGAACACCCTATATATTATTATATCCTTGGAATCTCTATAGAACGCGGAATTCAAAAATATATCACATAAAAGGTTTGTATACAGTGCGTCCATTAAATCTAGTGCTTTCGTGAAGTAGTAGGAACAGAATTGCTCTCCATTTTAATAAATGGCGAGAGCGCAAAAATATATTCATCAAATCGAAAATATATGAGGATCAACGCAGTTCATGGAAAACATATCAGTTGGTCTAAGATGACAACGATAGAATATCTGGTCACAGGAAATAAGAAAATTAGGTACTTCAAATTTGAACATTTCAATAAATGGTGGAAGCGCAAAAATCAATTCATCTTATCCATTCGAAAATATATAACATCATCCTCTGATAAACGGAAATGTGTTCACCCAGAATTGCTATGAATTTAATTATTTCAATAAATGGCGGGAGCGCAAAAGTTAATTCATCATTTAACAAAATCGGTAACATATGACAACATCACAATCTGATGAGGAGAAAAAGGTTGTAGTTGAATTTCAATGCAGATGAAACAATATAAATTATGTAATAATTTTATTGGAAATGTGGAATATTTATGGATTTGGAAAGCGAGAAAATAAATGAATCCACCAATTTATCGAATCTAACAGTATAGAGGCATTACCATTTGTTGATGGACAATCAATTGGACTCGAAAAAGGTTAACACGATATCTGGTACTAGGAATCATGCAAAATTACTCTGAATTTGAAAAATTGAATAAATGGCGGGAGCGCAATGGAATTCCACCGACTTGTCGAATAACAGGTGTGGAATGTATTGCTCTTGTTGAAATGATTAAGGATCGCCATTTGTTGATGAACAATCAGCTGGACTCGAAAAAGGTTAACACGATATCTGGTACTAGGAAACATGCAAAATTACTCTAAATTCGAAAAATTGAATAAATGGCGGGAGCGCAATGGAATTCCACCGACTTGTCGAATGACAGGTGTGGAATGTATTGCTCTTGTTGAAATGATTAGGGAGTGGGACCAAAATGGAGACAGGAAACAAAATATTATCTTATCATAAAAGATATACAGAATTTGTTGAACTAATCTCACGCCAGGAATGAATCACTTCCCACGTCGGTGTGTAATATGCTATTTTGACCACTTATCGAATTTAATATATGGAATTATCACGTTCTGATGTGAAAAATGAGCCAAGTTAGACTGAATTGAAGACAAAACAAACAAAATCTCATGAGCACTATGCAAGTGAAATTTGAATAAATGGCGAGGATACGGAAATCAATCCATCAACTGATCGAATTCAAAGTTGTAACAATAAAATATCTGATCATAGGAATTATGCAAAATAGATTCGAGAAAATCTCAATAAACGGTGAGAGCACGCAAATCAATTCTCCAATTCATCAAATCGAAAACTATATTGAAAAAAATTGAGCTAGTTGAATGTGGACATTTCAATAAATGACTTTAGTGTCGAATGAATTCACCAGCTCTTCGAATAGAGAGATATAGAGGTAGCCCTCTGTTGAAAATATGAATTACTTTGAATTAATTACAAGGAAACAAAACAATATCTACTTATAGGAAATATACCAAAATGCTTCGAATATAAAGAAGAAATGGCGAGACATGGATATTTACCTATCGATAAAAAATTGGAATTCATAGAAGTATTACTGCCTGTGTCTAAAGGAAATTGAGCCAGTTGGGCCAAAATGAAGAAAAGCGATATCTCATCATAAGAAGTATGCGACATTGGTTGAATGTAAACATTTTAATACTATTCATTAAAAAAGGGA